GTTTTTTCCTGGTAGTCAGGAGGATATGATACGATTTCAACTTTTCCTTTCTCTTTGGAGTGTTACAAGCTCTTGGTGCATAAAGAAGATCTGTAAAGTTGCAAAGACTAAAGTCTCAAATCCAAAGAGATATTCTTTATAAAAGTTCAGTCCGCCACACCCCCCTAAAACGGCTCGTTTAAACACGCCCCCACATGTCTACGTCACTGTGTGGGAAGATTTGCATAACGCCGCCCAAATGTTCACACAAAGAAAGAAGGCCTAACTTTTATTCTCGCTGTAGTATTGTTGCTGCCGCCATGTCGTGAAGGCGCTGTGTTTCGTTGTGAAAGCGAAACTACTTTGTTTGGTCTTCCAAAAGAGGACAATATCCGCTTCGTCATGCCTGGAGCTGATCCGTGCTGGTCGCTGAGGAAATACTACAACTTTGCGCTGTGGATCGCCGGATCAGCTTTCACCGTGGACGAAGCGGAGTCCAGCCCGGGGTCGTCACATGTGGTTGCCACAAGCCCGCCGGACGCTCCTTCGTCGAATCTGCCGGCCACGCCGTTTTTAAGCCCGCCACCTCTGCTCACTCTAGCCCTCCGGCCGTTCCTCACTCTAGTCCCCGGCCTCTGCTCTCTCTAGGCCACCGTGTGTGACGCTGTGTGTTTCGTTGTGAAAGCGAAACTACTTTGTTTGGCCTTCCAAAAGAGGACACGACTAGAAATCAGTGGTTAAGTTGCATTTACAACACTGTTCCAGAACAGTTCAACCCAAATATTCAGATGTGTGCAGTGCATTTTATGGAGGACTGTTTCCCGATCCTGGGAGAGTAGACTACAATGCCGGCTGTTCTGACTCACAGACTGTAAGTACATTTTTTTATATTTAAAGAATTTGCCACTGATGATTCAAACGCGAGTTTTGAGCAGTGTAGAGTAGCGCTTATTGTTTGTAATTTCTCCGATCACAAATGCAGACAGGGTTTTATGTTACGCTCCGGCCTGACAGGGCATCACAGTGTGTTAAGGGGCGTAACATTTCCGTCACACGCTTGAGGTACTCGGCCAATCACAGCGCACTGGATAGCTGGCCAATCAGAGCACACCTCGCTTTTCAGACGATGAGCTTTGTAAAAATCTATGCATTTCAGAAAGGCGGGGCATAGAGGAGAAACAATAATGTACAGTATGTGGAAAATAATGTTTTTTTAACCTTAAACCGCATAAACACATTTCATTACACCAAATACACAAAATAATGTTCTTTATAGCAACATCATATGACCCCTTTAAACAACGTATCATTGTTTGAAGAACTTTTTTTTTTAACTAAAAGCACATAGAATTAGTGAAAACTTTTAAATTGATGAGGTAAAACAGTTTTTGTATTTTGACAAAAATATTCTTTACATTTAGTCTATATTTTGTCACACCATACTCATTGTGAAGAAAATAACATTCATCTGGTTACAAAAATTATTTTTCTCCATTGATGACCTTAGCTGTGTATTTTGTGTATTTAATCAGCGAAACTACCACTGAAATAAATGGGAATGTTAACGGATAGTTTTCTATCCTAACACTGGTGAGGGCAGTGTCAAAAATACAGAGAAATTAGTGTCAAACGAGTCATTCATGCTGAAATAACTGATATCCCAATGCTAAAAGGAAAAAGTGAGCTTAAAAAAAGGAAATGCATTTTCTGTTGTGTATTTACACACAAGCACACAGAGGTTGACAAACAGCACTTTCAGAATAGCTCTAGTCTAATGGCAACACTGCTGACATAAATGAGCCAAAAGGCGTCAGTAAACAAACGTAACAAACAAAATGCTATGAACAGTAATAAGCAAATCTTTATTCACTCCCTTATTCAAATATACAGAAATACAGTGTTGTTTGTGCATGTCAACATCCTGCCGTGGATGTGGCATTTTACAGCATATGCCAAAAACAAATTAAAGCTGTAAATATGGGCCAGCTGGAAACGCACACATTTATGAATAAAATTATCATTTTAATATTATTTGCTTAATACTCTTTGACTTTTGGAATGTATTTTAGAAAACAGTCAAAGCCACAAATAAATGGGGGTTCAATTTGGGGAAACCATGGTGCCAACACAGGGGGATATAAATACTGTACCAAATTCAACAGCCTAGACGTGTGCCAATTTAAGGAAAAGGAGGACTTTCCAGAGGAAGAAAAAGGGTTTATGTGGAGCAGTGGTTTGTAACAGGTTTTGGTTCAGGCCCCAGACTTTACACTGGACATCAAACAAGGATTCAACCTGTACCAACCTTGTAACCAGTATTATATCTTCCTTTACCTTGTGTAATCATTTTTTTTATTGATAATTTTGTAATTTATGGTTTCTAGGATAAGCAGCTCACTTAATCAGTCTATGATCTGTATGTCTATTAACATTAACACATAACAAATGCATGATTTATGTATTTGCATTGTACTTTATGGATTTCCCTTTTTTTCGCGACATCAAACCAGACCACTTGCGTATTGTGTCATACAATGTGTTCATACCTCACAACGGAAGGGCTTCTCTCCTGAATGCTGCAGTGAATGCACTTTCAGTGACATGCTGCGCTTAAAAGACTTTCCACAGGTTTCACAGGTAAACGGCATGTCCTTTGTGTGAGCTAGAGACAAACAGAAGACCTGTTGTATTAGGCATACATGCAGTATCTCACAGAAGTGAGTACACCCCTCACATTTTTGTAAATATTTTATTATATCTTTCACGTGACAACACTGAAGAAATGACACTTTGCTACAATGTAAAGTAGTGAGTTTCACATGCATTTTGTGGCTGTATAGACATTTAAAAATATATATCTTGATATAAAGGGATTACTCGCGCAGTGCATAAGTGTGTCTGTGCACGTTTACTGTACGTACCAACCATGTGCTTACGGACATGAGCCATGGTGTAGAATTTCTTCTCACAAATCTCACAGGCAAATTTCTTCTCGGCAAAGCCATGGACAATCTTAATATGCTCGTGGAGGGACCACAGCTTCTTAAAAGACTTACTACATGACACACACTGGGGCACAAAAAACAGAGACACTGTTATACAGTACAAGAATAACATATTTAGTGGTATATCAACTCTCAGACCCCTTTTCTGAGTCTCAATGGCCCTCGAAGCATGAAGTCTCCCTCTGCTGGTCAGGACTGATTTTAACACATTCCTAACCTTTAATGTACTTCATATTTCAAATCAGATCTAAGATGTATGCTTCCGTTATCAATTTATTTGAGAATTATATCATTTGGCTGATATTGGACATTCAATTGCACGTGAGTTTCACCTGTTTTTACCTTTGCCATCACCAAACAAATACCTTTGCCACTGAAAACAGTAATAATTTAATAACACTGCTAAATGTAATCTTTAGCAAATTAATATAAAAATCATTTTAAAAATATGCATCCTTCATACTGTGTACATTATTAAGTAGTAATCCCTAAATTCAATGCCTAATTTATTATTTAACATTTTGTTTTTAGTTGTTTTTTTTAAATCTACACTTTCTGCATTTAGCAGAATATTCTATCCAAATCTACTAACAATAAAGGAACAATCTAATGCTTTGTTGGTATTTTACATTACATAATTGAAATATTGGTCAATTATGTTATCAGCCATAACATGAAAACAATTATTGGCATAAGCAAGAATTTTAATATCAGTGCATCCCTAATTACAATAATCCTTATTGAAGAACAAAGTCATATACTTTCAATTTTACTTAAGCATTTAATATGGAAAAGAAAATGCAACTTTTTTGCAACCTTTTTTTTTTACAGCTTTTTAGCTCTAGCCAATGTTAATTTAATATTATATTTTGTGTCGCACATACACTATCATTCATATGTTTGGGGTTGGTAAGATTTTTTTAATGCTTTTGAAAACTAAGTCTTATGCTCACCATGGCTTCATTTATTTGACCAAAAATACTATAAAAACATTAATACTGTGAAATATTATTACAATTTGAAAACATACATTTATTCTTGTGATGACAATACTGAAATTGCAGCCTTTCAAAAAAACATGGCAGTAAATTTCAGAACTCAAAACTCTCATTAGTCTAAAAACAGCGTATATTGAAGGCAGTTTGCCAAACCCACAGCTTGTGGAATGTGCCACTATGCTATGATGTGATAGTGTGGATAAACCCCACCTCCACAGAGGAAGATCAATGCCTGCTTCTACATCACTGATTTAGCCCCGCCCACTGATTCACGCATGAAGCGTTAACGAGAGAGGCAAACACAGGTCTAGCAGAAGGCAAACGATAACATTTATTTGATGGACTTTATTTTTAATGAAGTTCCAGAGCGCAACAGTACGAACTTTTGTTCACTTTATTTTACAGTGGAATTGTTTACAAACAAGGCACAATTCGGCAGGATTTTCAGAAAGACTGAAACTAAAAGATGATGCTGTGCCATGATCACTATTGCCTTGTCTCTTCTTACAGTTCATTTGATATGCACTTATGCAGTTATTTATGCAATTTTGACCTAAATCACAGCAGCGTCCATCTATAAGGAAAGTACACTGTCAAACACACAAGTATTAGCCAATCACAGCAGTGGGCGTTTACTTCCGAGTCTACAATCCGCCATGTCTATTCAAATGGAGTGTTCAGATGAGGGGGTTAAAAACAGGACAGAAAATATCCTATAATCTCTAAATTATGTTTTTGATGTAAATATCCTGATAACATTATAAGTGAACCTCAGAGAACAGTACAAAATAATAAAAAAAGTTTATGACCCCTTTAAATATGGTCTCTGCTTGGACTAATGTCTATTAACAATACTTGTACTTCACCAAGCATGTGGCTTTTCAATACAAGTTTGGGAAGATGCTCTCACCTGGATATTCTTCTCACAGTCTGTCTGCTGGTGAAGAGCCAGTTCACTCTCCAGCACGAACTTCTTCCCGCACTTGTCGCAGATCTGCATGCGTCTGTGCGTCACATTCATGTGCTTCTCCAGGTACCAGCGGGTGTTGAACACACGTGGACATTTTTCACACGCTAGTGTCTCTTTCTCCTCACCCTCTCCCTTGGCCCCTCCTCCTCCTCTTCCCGCGTTTGTTGCTCCTGAGGTGGAGGAGGTGGAGCCTTTGGGCTCCTTGCCAGGTCTACGCTTTTGGGGCGGGCCCTCTGCATTCTTCCTCCGCCCCCTGGTCGTAACGCTGGCAGTCGCAGTGGTTACACTCCCAGTTGATGAAGGGGCTACGCGGCGACTCTTTCGCTGTGGCGGAGCAGCAGCTCGACCCCTGAGCGTCCGTTGCACTCTTGTTCGCCGACTGTTGTTTTCTTCTTCCTCATCATCTTGATCCTCCTCATCCAGATCCTCCTCAGCACTGTAGTCATCTTCCTCCTCCTCTTCTTCCTCCTCCTCCTCTTCTTCCTCCTCCTCCTCCTCTTCTTCCTCCTCCTCACTATTGCTCTTGTCGTCTCCTGCGGTGTTTGCATTTGCTGCGTCGTCTCCTTTGGACACATGCAGGGTCTGGTTATTGAGGTTGACCTCTACGATGATCTGTCCTCGTTTGAATTCGTCCTCCGCCCCGGCTCCCTCTTCGGCTTCAGAATCTTCTGACGTCCCACAGTCTCCGCTCTTCGTCACAGCTGCTCCGGACCCCTCCCGGTAAAATGGTTGAGTCGGGGCAGGATGGGGATTTAGGTCTGAAGGCATCTGTGAATCGGGCACCGTAGCCATCGTGTTTTCAATGACCACTGAGTACGGTTTGGCCGCAGTTTCTCGCTTGTACAGCTTTGCTGACAGCTCGGCATCAGGAGCAGAGGTGTTGTGTAAGTACGTTTGGATTTGCCCCTCCTCTTGGGACATCGTCTCCGGGCTGGACACCTCCTCCTTCAGTGTCTGGCAGGACTTCATCAGCAGCCGATCGCTTGGCTAAATCGGAGTGTTTCCCTCTTTATGTTTGAGAATAACTACTGTTTCCTGTCAAGGACGATACAGGAGGCAATGTACCCCTCCTCTCGAATGAATGAGAGGAGGGCAAGAGAGTGTAAAGGAGGAGAGATGAAGAGAGACACCTTAGCCTAGCCCAAACCGAGCCTCCATTACTTTCACTAGGGCATGAAAGAGAAAGAAAAGTGTAAGAGAAAAGTGAGACAGGAAGACAAAGAAAATGAATAAGACAAATGTTTTAGAGCTGCATTATTAATTGAACTAAAACCAAAGTTGAGATATGGCTTAGTGTGACTCTCAAATTACAAAGGATGTGATTTAACTGAATGAATAAATGCAATGCGTTTTTCCAGAGTGAAGCGCGGCACTGCATTCTTTTACACACGAGCAGCTCATGATCTGGGGATTTAAGTGTCTCAGAGTGGCTTGTTTCAAATCTTTGCATCTGCTCTGTGTTCAGAAGCTTATAAAGTGCATTAGAAAACACAATATACACTAATAATCTTTCCAAACTTGGAATGAAAAGAGCTTATAAAGCGGTTGCCGTCAACAAAAAAAGATAAGCTTTATTGTCTCCATACAGTTTTCCACCAAGATAAGCTTGCTGGTTTAACATGTAAAAATTAAGAAATTAAGATATTATTGCAATTTTACAGTTGTACTGAAAAGAATTAGACATTTTCTTAACTCTTTCCCTGCCTAATTTTCCAGGTTTCCCCATTACACGCTAGGGGGCGATATTACACATCTCCTGAATAAGTCTAGAAAGTCCCGATCAAAAACACAGACCAGGAAGATGCAGAAACGAGCTATCTCATATGTAAGCATATGCATATGAAATATAATGCCATCATCAACACTAACGTTAGAGTGAAATGTCGATCCAGGAAGTGGTAAAGGCCTGTGCAAGCTTTGTGAGTGCTGATGGAAGCCATCTACTGCATCTTTGCTTTGAAAATATTACTGAATATGATCCAGATGTAGTATTTGGTAAAAATGTGATTCTCAGCTTTTTGCTCAAAATGTTGCTTTTTTTAATGAAATCTACCTACATTCAAGGTCAAGGTCAGTTTATTTATATAGCACATTTAAAAACAGCTAGTGTATGCCAAAGTGCTGTACATATACAAATAAAGTAAATATAGAGATTAAGAGAATAAAAAGAAATGACTCAAAAACACATAATCAATACAAAACACATTAACATACACAAACATACATTTCATCCAAAAGCCAAGGAATACAGATAAGTCTTCAGGCGGGATTTAAAAACAGGAAGGGAAGGCGCAGATCTAATGTCCAGAGGTATGCTGTTCCATAGTTGAGGACCGGCTACAGAAAAAGCCCGATCCCCCTTAAATTTCAAACGAGAGCGAGGTATATGCAAGAAAAGTTTATCAGAGGATCTGAGAGAGCGAGAGGATTGCTGATAGCGGAGAAGTTCGGACAAGTATGATGGGGCTAGATCATTTAACGCTTTATACACAAATAATTAAAATTCAAGTGTTGATTAAAAAAAACAATGCTTGAAGCTAGAATAAAACAGGTTTTTTTGTTTGAAAGTAGAGGGTTTGATCTTTATTTTGATGTATTACATGTTCAGATATTCATACAACAAAATATTCTGGGGGCCAAGAAATTTTAGTGAAAATCAGTAAAAACGCTGGCGGTGGCTGGCAACTTTTTTCAAAAACGCTGGCGGGAAAGAGTTAAAGGAATAGCTCACCCAAAAATGAAAATTTTTCTCAATTAATTAAAACAAACAAACAACAAACAAACAAAAAAGAAAACAAAAACAATGATTTTATTCACAATTTCTTCTCTTCTGTGTCAGTGTTCGACATGCGTTCACTACAATACCATGACACATGCGTGTGCATTCCTCTGCTTGCAAACAAGACGCAGCACATCCGGTTTCTACATCAGAACGCCGGCTCCTGCATCAGCAGCACCACACGCATGCGTGGTTCTCTCGTGAACGTGTGCCGTAGACTGACAGGGAAGAGAAGAAATTGTTGAATAAAGTTGTTATTCTTGTTTTCTGTGTGCACAAAAAGCTTCATAAAATTACAGTTGAACCACTGATGTAACATGGACTATTTTAATAATGTCCGTACTACCTTTCTGGGCCTTGAACGTGATAGTTGCTGTCGATGGAACATCAGAAAGCTCCCGGATTTCATCAAAAATATCCTAATTTGTGTTCTGAAGATGAATGAAGGTCTTACAGGTTTGGAACGACATGAGGGCGAGCAATTAATGACAGAATTTTAATTTTTGGATGATTTATCCCTTTAAATACTATAAATCTGTAATAATATTTGTATTATTGTTATTATAATTTTTTAATGGTCACACTGATATATTAAATTTTTTGTCTACAAATTGAACAGCCTTAAAAACAAGCATGGCAAAGCTTTCCCCAACTCATGTAGTCTTAAAAGTACTCACATCCAAATGAAACTCGTCTTGGCTTTAGATCCAAACTTCAGTCTCTCAACAGCATCTCGGTTTCAACTTGGAAAGACAATAGCGGCACCTCATCTGCAAATCTCTGCTGATTCAGACACAAAAGCCGCCTCCTCTCTGTCAGTGATGTGACGACGTCTCCGCACCGTTAAACTCAGCGCTTAGATCTCGTAGTCATTATCAGCTGCTCTGAATCAGCACCCTGCAGCCAGATGTTACCTGAAAGAGAGCAAGAAACAATATGAAAGGTTGCGAAAGAAATGAAAAAAATTGAAAGCAATTATTTCAGGTGTCACCCAAGACATCACATTTAATTCAGTACATCAAAGCGGGTAAATGAACCACAACTACCATTGAAACAAGAGCAGTGTGTCATCAAACACAGATATTCAAGAATGAGTACAACAGTGCTCCGTACCTCAACAACACCTTTGAAATTATAGTCAGTGCAATGACTGTTACCTGGTAAAATCTTCTGGACTTCAAATCAGGTGCCATACATCCTTTATATGCATGTGTGTGTGAGAAAGAAGCAAGCAAGTGAATAAGAGAGGGAAAAAGAAAGAGAAACGAAACTGCAGCCTGGTTAAGGTGTAGACATCTAGAATCTCACTACTAATCAGATACACACACCAAACCACAACCGTTTCGTTTTTCAGTGTAAGAGTGTGTGAGCAGCTCAAAATTAAACCACAAGAACTTAGGTACAGAAAACACACTCACACAATGGGGAAGAAGACCTCACATATTTTCATATTCTGTACATATATTTTTTTAAATATTACCAAATAGCTACTGGACAGTCTCACACACTTCATTACTGCCAACTAACATGTTAACAAGCAACTCGCCCCGTGCTGAAGTAGCCAGCAAAGAGTGTTGCCATGTGGTGGCTGGAGTGTTGCTTATTTGCCAAGTAGGCCTGTAGTGATTATTTAATCTGATCATGCATGTTTAACTGCGATTATTGTGCACTTTTAATTCCAGTCCCATATTCCAATCCAACAGTTTAACAAATATTAATGCACAAATGAGCATTTTTATGCTTCTATTTCTAGTGCAGTAGTGCATAACAAGGGCACATGAAAGTGAATATTTTAGGACAGAACTTTTATTATTGCATTATATTCCGCTTTAAAACAGATGCATTTTGCACCTCAATCAATAAGTCTTTTCACTGCCTCTGAGACTGTAATTTCTAACATGTCATGGCTTTGATATGATGCAATATAGTTTAAATGTCAATACCACTGATTGATTGAGCTATTTGCCTTTGATCTGTATGGCTTTCACTCAACAGAGAGACAGATTCAACTGAAAATTGAGACAGTTACACACTGATGAACCAAAACGAGACCACAAGTTTCAGTGTGAGTGATTTGAAACGGGTGTGGGGAGGGAGTGTGTGCGCTCAAGGAATGTTCTTCCCCAATCAATGGCTCCTTTATATGCCAATATGTGACAACAGACTAAGAAAACAGATATCAGAGTGACCCTGTTAATTCACCAAGATCAAAACACAAGACTCTACCTTACATGCTGAGTCATCACGATCAAAAACAACACCACCTAAACAAGTAAACGGCAGCCACAAACAGGAAAAATAGCTGTTTTTGCATTGTACTCTTTAACGGCTTCGACCTTGACTTCCTGGCTCTCTGTGAACATCTCTGTTCTGTTCGAGTGTATGTGTGCCAGTCATCGTGTGCGTGAGTGAGCTGAACAAATATTTCTGTGAAACATATATGGCTTCAGAACAATACTGCATTGTAAAGCACTGGCTGTGTACAACATGCAATACATGATAAAATCTAAAGCCTTGTGACTACCAAGATAATTACCGTCTAGTCAGTTTGCTGCATGCTGCATCTGTGAAGAGACCAACAGCGTGACTCACATTAACCCACCTCTTTAAGCCATGGTGGGAAAATATACCTACACATTTTCAAAGAATTTCATTTGAGTCAACTATGGGGTTTATTTGTAAAATTTGCGACAACTATCTGAGAACTGCATAGATGCAGATGTCAAATTTTGTATTGAGAAAGCTACAGGCATTTTCATGTGTCACAAACCCTTTTGACTCATCAAGGTGTGTGTGAGCATCTAGAAAAGAAAATGAGTTAATTCTATCCCGTGGCAGCAGGAAAAGGTGTCTGACACAGCGTACGCATACATACAGTGAGCTATACTGTGAATGTATGCAATGCTTGAAAGGTCATGATTATCATGTGTCTGAGGGTGGTGAAGCATCGTTTGAATGATGAGAAGTGAAAAAAAGTAACAGTTAAAACAGAAATGTGAAGTCAGAAGAGAAATGGCATAACGTTTAACGTATACAGTTCACCTTTGAGTCACCTTTAGGACAGATGAGCTTACTTTAGGACACATTAAAGTGATAGTTAATGCAATAAATGAAAATTCTGTCATCATTTAATCAACTTCATGTCATGCTAAACTTGTGTTAAAAATATGTTTAATCTATTTTTATACATAAAATTAAAAATGTAATGTTAAATGTTGTTTTGGGCCCCATTGATTTTCACTGTACGGACAAAAAAAATAAAATAATTTTTTTATGCGTCACAGAAGCAGGGGTGGGGGGGCGATATGACCAAAATCTTATCACAATATGAGTAATTTTATATATACATACCACAATAATATAGTTATTTTTCTTTTTAAAAAGTCTACTAGCCTGAACTTTAAAAAAAAAATTTAAAAAGAAGAAAGAAAGTCACACAGGTTTGAACAACATGACAGTGAGTTGAACTGTCCCATTGGGGCCCATATCTTCATATTCACTTATTAAAATATTAAAAGAACACACTGATGATAAACATCATAAATGGATTCAACTGGCCCTAATTCAAATCGATAACTTATGAACTGTTACGTTTTTTTTTTTTTATGAGTAACTGACATTGGCTCGAAATGTATATTCATCCCATTTATTTCCTAAATGCATGCTGCTGATCTTACGGTGAAAAATTCATCCATGCATGTTTCCTTTTTTTAAACTTAATTTTTTGCCCTTTAATCAAAATGTCATAATTTGAACTTCCAGTGAAATTATAGATTTCTCTCTGGTAAAGCATGTCTGACTTCTCCAATCGACTGCAAGCTCACATTCAGATCTGCCTCCATCCAATCAACTGATGCACAGAATCAAGTTCTCATCCTGTATTTAATTCATTTTCAACAAGCTGTTTCACTCGGATGTGTCACAATATGGAAAAAAGATCTCTCACTATACTTCCACTGCATCATAACTTTAAAATAACTATCATAACTGATGACCATAACTTTAAAGGGGTCATATGATGCTATTTTAAAGATCATTATTTTGTGTATTTGGTGTAACAGAATATGTTGGCATGCTTTAATGTTCAAAAAACACATTATTTTTCAAATACAGTACATTATTGTAGGTCCTCTGTCATATGACCCCCTTTAAAAGTTCATAAGAGTATCTTTTTTTTATGAATCAGGTGAATGCTTGTTTTTGCATGCATCCAGTGAAGACATCACCATAGAAAAAATTTTGTGTAGGAATATCTCGGGTAATGCAGCAAACTAATAGCTCAGGTATCAATGTATTCAGCTATAAATTCAGCATAGCAGTAGGCTATATGATTCCTGCTTGTGTTTTGATTGCAGTAACACAGTGGAGCAAAACCTAGAAAAACAGTTAGAGACAATTCAATTAAAAACTATTCAACTCAGTTTTAAACTTTGCATGGAAACTACTGAGGGTGACGAAATTGGCCCGAATCATGCAGCTCTCCTGCAGCGACAGTTTACATTGCTGGAACGGCCACCCATGCATGCATAAACCTACCCACACAAATAAAACCATACACACATAAACAAACGCCCACACGTATACAATTATACACACACACACACAAACACATACCCACACAGATACAGCCATATACACACACCTCCACCTTTCTTCCTGTGCGCTTTGAAACTTTCTGAGAATTGGAGAGCGCAGTGTATGTGACCACATGATGGGTGCATAAGGGGTCACACATCTCATAGCGTGTGCGTTGGAGTCACAGGAAAGTAGCCGGCATACAAAACACATATTACTGTACGTGTATTTCAAAGACTGGCTTGACACACTTTCCACTTTGTGTTAATTCTGTTGTGTGTTTTAAATAAGTTTGAAATTGTCACTTAAAATACCAAACGGTGCTCTGCATTCATATTAAACAGACCTGAAAAGTTCATTCTTCGCTGAATATCCAGGAAAAGCTAGTGACTCTTGAATTGAGTGCATCTATCAGAAGGACACCAGAAATGCAGCACCCGGAGGAGCGTGAGAATCTGCAACACGGCGTCTACAACACATCTGAGGAGGAAATGAAGGAAAAAGCTCTACTTATTTACACAAGAATGCAAGACGCATGTGTTTGCATCTACATATCTGTCGAAGTCTGCAGCCACTTACAGGTCTAGAGTTTGCATGCTCTGATGAAATACAGAAGAAGAAAAGCAGAGTGAAATTCAGTGTGAAGACAATATCAATGCTTTCATTTTTCTTGTTTCAAGACCGACAAGTGCAACTGAAGTTTCGCAACGCCTCAGGCCGCTCCTCTCATCATCGTGAGCAAGTAGGTGGACGATAACGGTGACTAATCCCGGGCTTCCTCGCGCAAGAACAAATGCAAGCTGCTTTGATGTGGGTGACAATCACGCAATCAAAATCTCTATGACCAATGAAATTACTCACCTTTTAGCTTATATATTCTGTTCATATCTCCAAGGACTGAAGATCAAGCCCCATCTCACCTCGTCCATTCAACCATGATCAAATTTTACTCATCCAATAACCAAAACCACTTTAATCTCTTTAATTGATATTGCAGACAAAATAACCTTTCATGCTCTGATCTTAAGGTGGATTTAGTGCACAGGAAATGTTTTTTAGTAGCTACAGCCAATGACTTCAGGACTGTTTTATGCAGGTTTTAAATGACTGAAAGCGAAACTTCCAACTGCTAGTAACTAAAAATGCACAGGTTTTATTTATTTTTTTGCTCTTCAATTTTCCCCACCTCCAACATCTCAGCCTTGTGCTGAACTCCAACAGCAGCAGATCACTGATAATCTGACTAATTATTTAATCACGGGGGGTCAACCATGACAGTACGGTGAATCCACAATCTGACTTTCACTCAGAAAGGGACGCCGGGTTCTTTGAGTGCTGTTATGCAACTGTATTAACCACAAGGAAGCTGAGTCACTCTATTCTTTTCAGATGCTCTTAAACTAACCCCACCAACTGAAGATATTTAATACAGGTCACTCTGCAGCAGCCCAGGGAGAGCACAGAAAAGATGTCAGAAACGAGCAACATCTTCTGAATGTCTGAATGAAATGAAAATTAACCCTATTTATAATCTAAATGCATGTTATAGATCTTATTGCGAATGATTCATCCATGTGTTTTAATTATTTTTAAAATCTTCTTCAATCATTCAGTCTGCTTAAACCCTGCAAGATCACGTTCGTCTGTTTTACATTTTTGAGTGCAACATCCACATCTCAAAATCCGGTCAACAACTGTTGTACAAAACCCAAGTTCCCACCCTACATTTTTTCGTTAATCCATTCAGCTCAAATGTATGCCACAATACATATCTCGCTACTTCCATTACATCACTACTTTAAAGGTGAAGTAAATATTTCTGCAACATTACATTGAATTTTAAAAGTAATGGCTTCCCCCATCTGCCATTGGTTGGATAAACTAAGCCCTGTCCCAAATTCACACCATTGGTCAGAACATTGAAACGTAACAGTGGGTCCCATTCACTAATAATTGCATAGATTTTGTATTTCTACGCACAGGAGAACTTCTCACGAAAGCAGCATACGCACATGAATTTCTTCTTAGTCCATTCTAATGTTAATGAATTTGGAGTATTTCAAATGAGTGACTGTCTGCTAGAAGTTAGTCTTTGCATAAAATACGGCTTTCTGCACAACCTTTTCTTTACAGCCCGTTTGTCACTCTCAGAAAACATACTGGACACTCACCAAAACACACCTCACCTTTAACAAGTTCAGATTTTTTCACAGCAGGAGAGCATCATCACAGATGCACCCAAGACACAGGCACTTTGAAGCATAAAATAGTCAATATAAAAACTGCGAGACTATATATCAAGTCTTTTTGATCCTCACTTTATGAAGACTTTTATATACAAAATCTTTCAATTTAAGAGGGGATTCGTACGGTTTAAATTCTTTATCTTATAAAAATAAGTTTAGTAGCAGATGGGCCCTGAATAAAATGTATATTCCCATGGTCCTTACACATTGCTGCCTGAATGTGTCAATGATATGTTATGAAGACAGCATTATGAAAATGTTTAGCAGACTAAGTTAAGGTAAAAACAAGGTAGAAAAATCGAATACTTCAGATTCATGTTTCTGAAATCCCTTGCTTTGTGGGTGTCATATGACATTGTGAATTGCACAAGCTCTGGAGAAAATATCTTTGCCTAA